TCCTTTGCCTATTTTACGCTAGGTTATGTTCTTTTGTCATATTTCAGGTCCTAGTACGTAGATATGGCTTGCGGACGAGTTTCGGGAAATTAGAAGGTGAAAAAGGTCGATTGCGAAAACCGGGAAGCAGGGTTGCTGAAAAACACGCCCTCAAACACACCCTCTGTGCTGAAAAACACGGCCTTGTGTCAGATGTCGGGTTTTCCTCTGCACTTCACGAATAATCACCATTTCGAAACACGACATCTTTTGATTAAAATACGACCAGGTTTTGGGCCTAGAGGTCGTGTTTTTGTACCTATGCGGGTTTTATTGGAGATGAGCTCATATTTTGGGGGATTCGACTTTTTGGAGCAAAAACATAGTTCTAGAGAGAGAAAGTGCGAAAAAACCCTAGGAGCTATTTTGGAGTGGATTTCTCACCATTAAAGCCCAGATTGCATCCCCGAGCAGATTATTCCCATCTTTATGAGTATGACTGCTTTGATTTCTGTTTTCCTCTCTCTATGGAGTAGAAATTTCTCTCGCTTGGGTATGAAGAATCCTAGTTCCATGTGTTAGCGATCTTGATTGTAATGACTTTTGGGATTATATATTGATTGATTTTAGTCGATTGAAGTGTGTTTATTGAGTCAATTGAATATTGATCAACTTCTCTTGATTTCTGCTTCAACCTGTGATAAATAGAATCTGAATAGGTTGTTAGAGCTTCTTTAATTGATAGGAGTGAATTGATTGTACGAGAGTCAGTCAATTCACTGCTTTGTATTGGAATTTGTTTCCAATAGGTGGAGTTCTGTGTTAATTTCCTTAGCATCTATCCCCGTGAAGACTAGTCGTCTGCCGGTTAGTCTGTCTGAGAGGGCTTGGTCAGCTTAAGAGATTCCAAGCTACTTTCGGATCTTCCGGAGTATAATCAACAGTGAATCAACCGAAGGAAATTACAACTTGGACCTAACTAAGGAGCTAGGGGGCTCATTCCCGAGTGACTCTTCTCTTGCTTCAGAAAACTGGACAATTTACTACTTTCTTTCTGTTTTGATTTGAATTCACCTTCACTCACTTAGTCTCACTAGATAATGGAAGTTCACGAAGTAGGCAGTAGATCTAGACCCCAGGTTGATAAATTAAACTTACCCACTATTCTGCATTTCCATTATGTGATTATACTTGCTCGTAGTTTGATGTTGTGTTTTAGCGAGTTAGTTGTCAGACGGCGAAACGCCTGCTTGGACGTTTGAGTTCCCACTCATTGTGTTCCTCCAGATCTGACATTGCTTGGTGGCCCCAAGGTCCCGTTGCATAGGGGTGCCCATGAGGCGTTTGGTCGCCGGTTGGTCCTGCTGCATACGGGCGCCCGTAGTGACTGGACTCGATATCATCCACTGCCTTGTCTTGTTTCCTCATCGTAGGGTTGTACGCCCTCATGTCCTCGCCTCTTCCTCCTTCCAGCTCTCTCCTCAATGTTGTTATAGCTTGGTCTTGGTCAGCAATAATTTGAAACAACTCCCTCCTAGACAAGGAGCTGATTCTGGTCCCGAATTTTCCGCCCTTGGGCTTCCTCCATCTCCTCCTTATTCGTTCATTGCTTCCATTGTGTCCTCCTTTAGTTCGTGATCTCGATCCTACCCCTTCCTGGTGCGCCAATTTTTTGAGACACAATACTCTGTTCCACAGAGCACAACTTCAAACCGCTCTAAGTTTCCAACAAGGGCGCCCGGGTCCTGCAAGAATTGGCGCACAGTGGGCCTTTGTGACCCGTTAGCACTCTAACGCTCAAGTTAGTACGTGTCGAGAGAGTTTTTAGTGAGATAATCCAACTTGCTTAAATGCCACCAACCAAGCACTATTTATTCTCGTCTAGGTACCGACCAAGTTCCGGGAGTCCAGCCCTATGTCAGCAGGGCATTAAATGCTTGGTACGGTACAACGTCTATGCGCCCCCTCGTGGCAGCCTCCCAGCTTCCTTGGCGGGGCGCCTGGCGGGGACCATCTTCCAGCTTTAGTCGTATTAATTTTTCTTCATGTATGTTTTGTCTCCTTGCACCCTACCCGCGAACTTACTCTGTAACCCTATTTTCCAACTCGGTCCACATCCTATTGGCTTAACTTTTCTTGGGCCTTGGTGAACAACCTAATGGGTTTCTTTCATGTTTACCCAACACTACTGTTCTTCCTGCCTTCTTGGTAAGATGTGTACAATGTGATAACAATTGAGTAAATCGCACCGACTAGTTGGTCTACTTCTATCATTCACGAATCACAATCCAAAATTAATCAACTGAGTATAATCTTGCCAAATCAAAAAGTTATCATAATATTCTTGTTTCTATCCACAAGTTTTTATAAATATTTCAATTAACGGTTAAATTAATTAGATTTCAGTTTGACTATCCACATGTTTCTATCCGTGTGCACCACTTTTATTGCAAGCATTCCAGCAACCCCTTTAATCCATTAGAAGGGAGGGAGGGGCTAGTGTGCTAATATCTTTTTTTTGATATGGTGCTAACACTAGCTCCAACCAATAGGAACATGTCGTTTGGATTACTTTTTCATTTAAATAAGTAGACCATAATTAATGAAGAGAAAGAAAAGGAGGGGCACGCTTGGTTTTATCATTTATGACAAATTGGGGGAGGAAGAGTCAAGTGTGTCTTGTGCAATTAAATGGGGAATTCTTCTTCTTCCTCCGCATTCATCCCAAAACCCTCCACCCAAATTCCTTTTTTTCTTCCGCCGTCCAAATACTTCTTCTTCCGCCGTCAAATACTTCTTCTTCCGCTTCCATCCCAAAACCCTCCGCCCAAATATCTTTTCTTCTTCCTCCGCCCAAATACCTCTTCTTTTAGGGGTGGCCAACAGAAAACGGGTATTTGGGTATACCCATACTCGTCCCATTTTTTTAGGGTTACGGGTATCCCATAATATTTATTACGGGATGGGACTTGGGATTGGAAATTTTAACATTGGGTACCCGCGGGTTACCCGCTAATACCTGTTTGGGTAGTTTGGGTACCCGTTATACCCATACATACCCATTAGTCCAAATCTGTCAAGTTAATGAAACATGCTTCTTTTTAACGAAGATTATCCTCTTTTGACTTTTGTTCCCATTAAGTTAAATGGTCACTGTTTGTGGATTTATGATCAGAGGGAAGAGGACATGATCCTCTTATATAATGATCATTGTTTAATGAAAGCGGTGTACATATTCTCATGGTGACTGGCGACATCATTTCTTGATGCAGGTGGCCGCGACAACATCTTTTCTTGTTGCAGGTGCCGGATAATTAGTTATTTTCATGGTGCTCGTCTTTTAAATTTATAATTATTTTGTTACTCTTCCACGGGTATAGACGGGTAGTTTGGATCTTCGTTATTCGTCCCGTAAGAGTAATGGGTACCCGTTTACTCGTACGGGTTTGGGATATGGGATGAATTATCTCTTTCAAATGGGAAAGTGTTCCCGTCCCGTTTTCCACCCCTATCTTCTTCTTCCCCCGCCCAGATCCATCTTCTTCTTCTTCCTACGCCACCATCCCAAAACCCTCGAGCTAAGCAAATAAGGAAAGCTATCGGAAATCAGATCTCTTCATTAACAGATTAAGAATTCTGCAATTTGAGGAGGTTTTGAGGAGGAAGACGAAGATTAGAGAGAAAGAGAGAGGTTGGGGGTTTGGTTGGTCGGGTGAGATGTAAAAAACTTAGGAGATCTGGTGTCGGAGCCATGCCTTCCGCCTCCGATGTCACCTCTCGCTGCTTGTGAAGACAGTCTGGTTACCGGCGCCGGAGATGAATGGAAAGGGGAGTGGATGAGATTTGGGCGTGATTCTGAGATGAGCGGAAGAGGAGGGATGAAGGCGGCGCCGGAGATTGGCTCATGAGCGACGACGGATGTAGAAGCGGCAGCGAGACGGAGGAGTCTGGAAGAAGGTCGAAGAAGATGAGGGGAAGAAAATATTTAGCCTCCATTTTGTTTTTTTTTTTTGAGTTTTTAATGTTTAAAATTTATAAATAAAAATTAATATGACGTGGAAAGTGACATAGTTGTTGACGTGACATTTTTCGTTACAAGGTTAATAACTGTAACGGACTATTAGCCATCCGTTTACGCGCAACATTAGTTATGACTAATAATTAATATAGTTGTGGCTATTATTATTCAATAGTTGTGTCTAATATATTGTATTTATTTTTATTTTAAAATAATCTTCCATGGTTTCATCTGGATTGACCGCAAACAAAAGTTAAGAATTAAGAATAAACACAAAAGAGCTTTCCATTTCAAACTGTAGACATCATTGGCTCATTCACCCTAGTAGTTAATCCATGTGCTAAGTGATTGTTTTGGATTCATACTCTTTCTTAATCAATGAAGGTTCTTGATATTTATTTGGGAGAGACAATATTAAAGAGCCCTTTGTAAAACGATATTAGTATATGAATTGTAAATTATCAAAAGATCAACAGTTAGATGTTGCGAATGAGCAGCCATGAGCAAGAGGAGCCATGTCATAAACCTCTGCAATTGAACGGTATATCCCGATTTCATAGACATACCATCTATATGCAGCATGGTTCATGAAACCGTATCGTACTGGCGGTGTAACCACGTAATACTAATAATGGAGGTTAAACCGGTAGGCGGTATTTAATGGTACAACGGTTGAAATACGATTAAACTACGATTTTACCATAAATTACCCTACCGCTGAGTTTTCCGGTACGGTTTCATGTACCTTGCCATGCAGAGGGAATAAAAAAATTCCAATGTGTTACTGTCGGTTCATTTATATTTGTTGTTATTTAGATGTTTATCATGTTTATCTCATCCATTAAAGGCTAAATTGGTGTGTCTCTTGGTAGAAAAATTGGTGTTGCTTTATAGCAAAGCAAGTTAATATTGAAAATGAAATGGCCGAGTATCATCCAAGCAACCGTATCGCACCGAAGATGAACAACAAAATCCTCAAAATATTAGATGAGAAAACCTCTGCTATTGAAGCTGCCAAAGGAGACATGATGACTGCTGTAACTATGTCAATCAGTCTTCCTGTACAGAGCATTAAACTGATCAAAGTCTATAGAAAATGAAGATAACCTCATTGAAGGAGGAAATGTAACCCAAAGGGAAAGAGAGCCAAGGAAAGAACCATTCTCTTCTGTTCAACCACATAATCTATGTCTTGGCCTTCCATTTTGCCAAAGAATATATAGAGACAGTAACAGCATTCCATTCATTTGCATTTCCCACCAGAGGGAAAGACAAAATGACCACCCAAATAAACAAGCTAAGCCCCCATCACAGCACAGACATTCTGAATCCTCCTTGCTTCCCCTAAGATTCTCTATACATGGCTGGCTTCTAGTGAGTAGTAAACATGTCCTTTTCTTACTGTAAAAGCGGTTCTTCCTGCGCGGGGGTGGCTGAGCTAAACAATAGCAAGCAGTCATTATAGGTGTAGAAGGAAATGAGATCTGTCCAATCATCTAGAGCTCTTTCCCTTCTAATAAAACAAGGAAGAAAGGGAATAAGCAAAGTTGCGTAACGGTTTTGTCTCTCTATGTTTTCGAGATCATCGGATGCTTTCCTAATCTGAATGTGTGGAAGCTGAAATGACGGCCACCTCCTTATCCTGCTGCTTTTTCAGGTATCTCTGTGCTGTTGAGCTCACGATCTTGAAGAAGAAGTTGAGGAGCATGAGCCATACTACGGTGTTCCAGATTGCAGCGAATGAGAGATCCCATTTTTTACCCTGTTGAACGTAATATAGAAATGCGTGAATAAATCAAACACAGCCTTTGTTTAGTATTTGGATGATGTATGCCCTTTTTAAAGTTAAGTACCTTGGTACTGGGGAGAGCGGGAGTTGGTGAGAGGAACTTTTCTCTCATCTCATGGAGTTTGGTTATCACGTTGGGAAGGATGGATGCCAACCCAGGTACAAAACTCAGCATCCAAATCATCTCGTTCTCAATCCAGTTAAGGAGTTGATTGTTGCAGACACAGATTATGAATACCGTCTGCAGAAAAAAGAACAAGTGTGAACTATAAGTACAGTATCATATATATCAAAGGACTCTGCGACACCACAGTGTTATGGTTCTGGAAGAGAAGCATCAATAAATGCTTCTGTTACTTTTCTAAGAGTAGCAATTTGAAAAATCAAGTAAGAAGACTTCTGAAAATGATAACATGGCAAACCTGTATGTGTGTCTTGATGATAGCCTTGCCAATCACTGTTGAAAGGAAGAACTTCCAGAATGGGATCCCAAATTGTCCACACATGATACCGGCAAGGTCAAATAGGGGGTTTGGCACCTGAAAATGATTTTTTCAAGAATGTCAAGCAAATGAGCAATCATAAACAATCAGAGGCCACAATTCTCGAGGAGTTGAAGCACTATTTGCAATAAAAAAACTAACCGAAGCAAGCACTAAAATTGTGAAGAAGTTCAGATGTTGTGCATGTGACATAAGCCAGCGTTTGATTGTCTTCAGGTGTGTTGCTATGACTCCATCATCTTCAGCGGATGTAGCTTCTAATTCCTCCATTGCATCGAATTTGCTGCCCGATAAACGTGCTACAGTAAGTAATTCACACTGTACGCGTCAGATGGGTCCAAAATGAGGGCAGTTAAACTCATGCAAAAAGTCTTATTCATAGGATGCCTATGCTAATTATACCATTTGATTCAATCGAAATGAGTCAATTGGAGGTTTAGCCAAACTGGAGTAAATAGTAGAAGTGAAAAAAGTACTAATACGAATGAATGGTTGTGAAATCATTAGATGGTCCCATAAATTACTAAAATATGTGAGTTGTAGTTAAAAGATTAAAATGATGGCAGAAACTTTTGGAGTTTTACTGGAAATATAGAAAGGATAAAGCAAAGTGGGGTCACAAGATTCTTCAATTAAGTGTTAGCCGTAGATGTTAGAAGTTGGATAGGTGTATCTCATTGAGAAGTTAGTTACTTGATCAACTGGAGGGACCAACTGGTTGAATCAAATGGAAGCTAACCACTAGACAGTACAGAGGTAGAGAGATGATCAGATAGGAGTACATTAGAGAGTAGTGCATACCAGCTCTTGAGATGAAGTAAGGAGGTAGCTCTCCAAGTGCAGTCCCAACACCCCACAAGACAGCTTCTATCTGGACATGTGGCAATATGCTGCTCAGTGGCACCCGCAACAAGTTGGATGACTGAAATACTGGTTCACCAAACTCATCACAATCTTTATCAAGCCATGAAGGACCTCTCTCTAGCTGTATGGTATCATATATGGCGCTCTTTAAATCGACCCGGCCGCATTGCATTGCCTTAATTGTGAACAGGGCAATATGCGGACCCAGATAAAGAACAAAAGTGTGCAAACCAGATCCTGAAACCGAAAAAAAGCAAGCAAAATATAAGAAATGAGGGGGTAACTTTGATATATCATTTGACAGGTAGTAAAACACTCATCATTGATGAAGAACGATAGTGATAGAAAGTTCTAAACAGAGAGAACACAAGTTGTTAGGACAAATAGTTACAGGACATTATGTTCATCAAGTCAAATTGCTCCCAAGTTTAGTTAGGAGCTGCTTGTGAAAGTATCCAGGGAGCACTAAAAAATCCTGTGTCCATAAAGATATTGGAAAGAACAGCAAAACATGAACCATTGAAACCCCAGGCTCAACAACATTGAATACTCGGCAATGTCAACTGCACATTGAATTGATGCTCAACCATAATTCAAACCACAAAAAATAACTCGGGAAACTCATTATCTTACCTAGACCAATTGATGATGCAACACCAAGAGCTATCCACCACAATCCAAATTGAAAATAATGAGAGATTTCTTCTAAGTGCTGCATAAGCATGTGACATAGCAGAAGATCAGTATTTCTCCTAATCTCAACCAAAGAATGTAACAATGTGACTTTGTTTAGAAAGGTGTGTATGTGCATCTTATTCATGCTACTCTTTAGGCACTTCAGTCGGGAACATATACACTATCAATAAGCAAGACAGGATAACAATAAAATGAAAGATCTGCTACATGAAGAAACCAAGTACCTTTTCATGAGGACCATCGACAGTAGCCACCAGAAAAACAAATGCCACCACCACAGCACTCAAAAGTAACAGCCAACCACCCTTTGCGAGGAGGTATAATACACAATTCTTAAAATACTGAACTACAGCCAAAATGAAAAACTTCAATGTTTTGAATGGTTGTGTTGTTAAAGTCAGATTGTCCAGCTCCTGCTGATGCTTCTCGCGAAGTTCTGCAATATCGGAGCAGTTGTTTTCATTCAATAATCACGCAGATCAGAAAGACAAAGCTTCCACACTTCAAATTATTAGTTCACCATAGGTCTCAAGAACAAGACACTAGTTGACATACACTCTTGTAAAGTGCTATACCAATTGCAAAGATGAGACACTGAGTCCAGCTAGAACACAGACTAATTTTCACCTAACCAAACACATCAATTCCTGTCAAGACTCAAGATAATACCAGACTGGCGAATTGTGTCCGGTCACTTCATACTACAACACCAGATTTTAATTTTTTGGTAGACCTCTATATCTCAACTACCCAATACGCCATTGGGGCAGGGCCATACTTGCAACATCCCCAAAAGCAATCCGAAGTAAGAGCAGCTGAAGCGAGAAGCTTCAGCCTCTCACAATAGGCACTAGATCCCAACATGTAAAGTGCGAAATAGCGGATTATCAGTTATCCCTTCATCGAACAACAAATTCAATAACCACTTCGCTTTACACTAAACGCAAGCTCAACGATTACCAACGACCAATAAAACCGACTCGCAAAGCCCAAAATTTCCGAAACAAAAGAAACAAACTTCATCTCCAGATAATTCCGGGGCGAAAGGGAAGTGAAGGGCTTGCTTACCTGCGATTGGAGAAGCCATAGTTTCGGAAGAAGAGGTGGATCCTTTGCCAAACCCCATGTCACCGCATACTAAAATCCAACCGATGAACGAGAAAGCTCCGTCCTTCCTGCCTCTAATACATAAGTCTCCGGCAGAACATCGATGGGTCAGGATTGATTTTGCCTAATAGGTTCCGCGAAAGACGAAAAAAACAGGCGGCTATGGGGGATTTTTTGAAAGAATGGAATCAATCAACACCGGTCTGGTGGAAGGGTTTCTTGTTATTGAGATCTGAAACGTAAGGGGTACGGGAAACGTGAAGAAGGAGGTTTGCGTGGTGGAAATCTCTTCCCAGTGGCCGGAGGATTTCTTGCACTCTGCCTATCGACTATCTCAGGCGGAGAGTTCTCTTCTTCTATAATGCTCCTTCCTTTTGGGAAATTCAGTTTGCTTTTTGTTTGGTTCTCTTGTTCCTCTGTCTATATTGACAAAGGTTTTTTTTATTGAAATGATCGAAGGAATTTTTAAACACTTTTTTAATGGAAAGCCCAAAAATGAAAATAATTCGATTCAGGAAATAATAAGGATAATTGGGTCATACAACCTTTTCATTTCCCTCATATTGAGTCCTCTCCTGGAAGTTTTAAGTATTTCATATTTTACAGTGGGTTCGTCCTCTAATATGTCAAACAACTCCTCTGTGGAAACATTTTTTTTTTATAGAAAAGTGTGAAAAACAACTCTCTTATTATATTTTTGCATCCAAAAATCTTTCATGGGACACACCAATCGAGCTATGATCTTTAAGAACATTGTGATTTGAACATTCTAGTGTAATGCACGGTAATGAGTCGCATGTATGATTAAATGTGCATTATCGTGTTAGGATGCCCTAACCTTTGACAAACATTGGAATTACAACATGATTCGAAACACACGCTTGTCAAACTATTGGACTAAGGGGAATGTACTTGGTCAGAAGTTGGAAGCATCCATAAATAATGATGTTTTCAAAATTGAATGGGAAGATAAGACCATCTCTAATAACAAGTGTAGTTCTAGTGCTAGATTTGACATTCCAGCTCCATCAAAAGGGGGGGTTTTGCTCGATTGGTCAGTGCTACAATCCACGGTAAGAGTCGCAAAACATACGATCAAACTTTCATTAGCGTGTTAGGATGCCCTAACCTTGACAAGCATTAGAATCGCAACCTGATTCGAGGCACAAGCTTATCAAACTATTTGATTCAGGGAAATGTAATGGGTTAGAAGTTGGGAAAATCCCTTAAAAATTATGTTTTCATAACTAGATTGGAAGATTAGACCATCCACAATAACAAGTGTCAAATTTTGGTGTTAGATTTGTCATTCTACCCCTATCAAAAGAGGTTTCGCTTTAATGGTGAGTACTAGAATGTCAAAGTGTCAAATTTTCACTTTTTGTCATAATGTAATTTAATGTAGATGTCGTCAATTTAATTAGATATTTTGTTTATTAATTTGGATAAATATAATATAATAGTCAAATCTTTTCGAAAATAATTTAATAGGTATACCGTTAAATTTCCGTCCGGTCAACTATTATTTGACTCTGACGTGGCAAACTCTTTGTTGAGATGGTAGATATGTAATGACGTGGCAAGACCGCCTCCCCTGCATTCAAATCACAGCCCACCTCTTTCTCTCAACTCGCAATCGCCTCCTTGGAAATCTAAAAGCCTATGCATGACTTAGCTTTTATCCACCTAGTGGCTAGTTAGGTGTAACAATCCCTTGTTTCAAGCAATAAAATCTTGACCCGTTTAGCTTTGAGGGATCTTATTAGCTTTTCCAACTCGCTGGCGATGGAAGGTTGTTCTCCAGCTGGCCGTAGTTGACGTCAACCCTCATTGAGATCTCGGGACCCGAGAGAGAGAGAGAGAGAGAGAGAGAGAGAGAGAGAGAGAGAGAGAGAGAGAGAGGGAGAGAGAGAGAGAGAGGAATACAAACGCATCTAAAAAAGGTGCATCTATAGAACTAATAATCTGCCATTGGATTTCAGAAATATTAGAAGCCTCCCTCAAAGCAGATCTTCAGTTCTCAGCTTTCCCAATCTCATCCATCGGTAGTGAGCAAACACAGCTCCATAGCTACCCCTTTGGTGCTTCACCCACTTGAGAAGGATCTACGTCGCCGTATGGAAAATATGTGATCATGACCAAGGTTGAAGGAAGAAGAAGAAATGAACCTAGCTTTGCAATCATATTTGCAGGAGGATTAGAAGACTGAAAGAAGAAAGGAGAGAAACGGCAGCGTGTAATGAGTCGCAGAAAGGAAGAAGAGATGACATTGTATTGTGGTCGTAGAGAAGAAGAACAACAATACGACGACGTTTTACTTTAGTTGTTGTTAGCCGTTATAAGTACTGTTTGTTTAAATGTCTTAAGCAACTGTGTAGCGCCAACTGTCATGTTTTGCTTAATCACTCTGCTTGCTATAAAAGAGAAGTGAGGACTCAGAGTTTGCTGAGCTTCCTCTTCCAATCATTCTGTAAAATTTGTTATGGTATCGGAGCAGCTGCCGCTCTAGGGTTTTTCCGCCTCTTCCAATCATTCTGTAAAATTCGTTATGGTATCAGAGCAGCTGCCGCTCTAGGGTTTTTCCGCAAATGAAAGAATGTCAGGAAGGCAGACTCCACCCCGCATGGCAGTACCAGCAACGGAACGACATCAGGCACAACAACAGCATGTGTTCGTTTTGGCACATTATTCGACCAAACTCAGCTGCAATATGAGACAATCATTTTCGGTAATACCTATTACCTTAACCCAAATGAGAACATGTCTCAATCCTTGGTTGCTGAGCCGTTTGATGGAATCAATTACATAATGTGGAGTATATTTATGCAAGTTATTCTGAAAGCGGAGAAGAAGGTTGAGTTTATTGATGGTTAGATCCTAGTGCCTCCTAGAGATGCAAATCTATTTGGATTATAGGATGCTTGTAATAAAGTGGTCCTTTGTTGGATTCAGAACTCCATGACCAAAGAACTTAGGAGATCTATACTGAATCATAACAAGTCTAAAACACTGTGGGAAGAGTTGAAGAGGCGCTTTGGTCAACCCAATGTTATGAGAATTTTGAATATGAAGGATGAAATTCAAGCTTGCAAGCAGGGGTCTAAGTCCATTACATAGTATTACATTACCATTAAAGGACTCTGGGATGAATATGTTGAGCTTAGTCCTATAACACCATGTAATTGTGCACCTGGAAACCCAATTCCTTGTGTCGCAGTTGCTGCTTTTGTGCAGAAGCAAGAGATGGATTATCAGATACGTTTCTTGAGAGGCCTCAATTCAGAGTATGAGGTCATTAAGACACAATTAATGATGCATAAACCACTTCTTACTGTATCAACAGCAGTTGATGACCTGCTACAACATGAACAAAAATTGAAAGGTGACACAACCATGGGTAACAAAAAGTGTTAGAGTTTGGCTCTAGCAGTTGGGGGTAACAATACAAGGGATAATGCAAACTCAAGAGGGAAGAAATTATGTCAGTTTTGAAAAATGAACAATTATAACATTGAAGATTGTTGGAAGTTGAAAAGGAAGCAGGAGATGCAGAAAGATGGAGGCACTAAGGGAGGATCTAATTCTAGGTCAAGTTCAAATTCCAGTACACCAAAGTTTGCTGGTTCTATTTCCTAGGGAAGTGGTAATGAAATTGCATGAGAGGGTAGTGTGATCAATGAAGGTAAAAGCTTATGCACCATTAGCATTTACACCTGAAGAAATGAATCGTCTCCGATGTCTCTTGCAAAATGGTGCTAACACACTCATTTCTCCACCTACCTCTCCATCCCTCAACCATCAAGCCTATTCAGCCACTCAAGACCCCTCTTCCTTCCCCAACTTCTCAGGTAAACCCATCATAACCTCTTCTCAAAACTCTGCAACTAGTAACTTGAACTTATGGATTGTAGACACAGGAGCATCTGATCATATAGCATGTAGTCTTACCCTCTTTTCTAGTTACCAGCCACTCCAGGATTCTTTTGTTTGTCTCCCAGATAGTACTAAAGTCACAGTCACACATGTAGGCATAGTACATCTGGCTTGTGGTTTGACACTACATAAAGTCCTTTTTGTGCCAAACTTTTCCTTCAATATGATTTCTGTCAGCAAACTCACACATGATTACCCCTTTTCCTTACACTTCCATTTTGATAAATGCAAAATCCAGGTCTTCTTAAGCCATAAGAAGATTGGTTTAGCCCACACAACTAGAGGCCTTTACCATCTTGCCCTACCTTCCAGCTTCACCAAGCCCTTCTTTCCTGCTCATCAACACCAAGCTGCCTTCTCCAACAACTTCAAACCCCAAGATCTGAACCTGTGGCACTGAAGGCTAGGACACCCTAGTCATAATAAGCTTTCTTTACTTGGTTCTGTAATTCTTACATTTTCCAAATCTAAGGCATTGCACTGGGATGTATGCCACTTATCCAAACAAAGAAAACTGCCTTTCCTTGTTAGCACCAGTGTTGCACCTGAGAATTTTACTTTATTACATATGGATATTTGGGGTCCTTTGTCAACTGTTTCCTACGATGGTTATTCATATTTTCTTACAATTATGGATGATCATTCAAGAAGTGTCTGGGTGTATTTGATGAGGCACAAGAGTGAAGTAAGAGGGTTAATCCAAGGTTTCTGTATCCTGGTGAGGAATCAGTTTAAGATAGTTAAGATTATCAGAAATGATCAAGAAAAAGAGTTTGAAATGTGAGTTTTTCAAAACAGAAGGCATTGAGCATCAAGTTTCCTATGTTGCAACTCCTAAACAGAGTGACAGAGTTGAAAGTAAACATCAACACATCCTAAATGTGGCTAAATGTTTGAAGTTTCAGTCTGGTCTTCCCCTTGACTTTTTTTTTTATAATGGTGATAAATTATATTTCAAAGGGAAACAAAACATAACCTGAAAAGTTACAGGGAAAGGGATCAAAAGAATTGATCCCACAAGGAAACGTAAAGAAACAAAACTGGAAAAACAAAAGCGGAGAAAAGAGGACCAGACTGCCCCTACTCCAACGCAAACGCACAACGCAAAAACACAATGAAATGTCAAAGAGGAGAGCAAGACAGGACACGAGGGACAATAGAAAGGACAACATCCAAAATAGCCCGAGAGCAATTCAAAGCTCAAATCTCTTAAGCAGGAACACAAAAGAGAAATAGAATCATCAACTGAACAACAACAGCTCGGGCCAGAACAGAATCCCCCGGAAGAATAAAATCCGCAATCACCAGCAAAACAACACCCAATGGTCAACATCCCTCCACAATATCACATAGCCAGATCTCGCTCTGCGTTTTCTCAATTTTCCCATGAGCCACTAACCATTCCATAGAGTTTCTTGTTGCTCTTCTTGCAACCGCTTTGGCCGTCATAGCTTTCTCCTCAAACACCCTTTGATTTCTTTCCAGCCACACGTACCACCACAAAGCGTGCAAAATAAAATCTTTGAATAAATCTTCAGTGTTGTCCGGCTTGGTAATAGAGCTATTTTTAA